GCACACTCGAGCAAGATAATTAGCCAAACCATTCCATATCTATCTATCTAGGTTTTTAATTTTATTTTGGTGAGATAGAGCTGTTTAGTCTTTCTGCCCTAGTGTTAACTTAAGACTTTTATAAGAATGAGTTCCAGCTCTGATGATGTCCAGCATATGAGGGTCGAAAGCTCAGCCCATTTTCACTCAAAACGAAGGAGGAGGTCTCGCGAACTGCGTCAACCTGAACGTCGTATAAAAGCCAAACGGACGTCCTCTTCTGGCGAAATCAAGCTGCGAATCCTTTCTTAATGCATCTTCACACGAAATGAAAGTCCTCCAACAAGTTTATATTTCATCTAATATATCACTTGACAGACATTTTTATAACACGACTTCATTCATGCATTGAATTAAAATGCATAATTATTGAGCTTACTTACATTTCAAGTGAAAGTGTTTGGTGAAGAGATTCGAAAGTCAATCCCACCAGAAGACGACGGCGGATTTATCTTGACCAGCTGTCGATTGGCCTTACTGGAACTTTTTTTGACGTTGTTTCAGAGGCAATCACGTCCGATTTCGGGAGAAATGCATACCTATTATATCACTGAGAGTGACCTGCCCAACCTTACATGCTATATACCTATTCCCGAGAGGCAATTAAAAGAAAAGAATGAGATAAGAATTTTTTCCACACTTTCTTTTCATGTCACTCTGGGCAGTTGTTTGATTGAATCTCTGTCTACTTGAAATTTTCATAAGAATGAAAGGTATAGTGACATAACAGACCTTTTTATGCTTGACCTCGTAAAATTAAACTTTCTGACACTAGAGAACGACTGCCAAGCTTTCCGGCTAGATCGAACTATGAATTTCTTTATTTGGCGTTTTCAAAAGAAATGGAAATTGGCACAGCAATTACATCTCAGGATAGTCATCGATTCATAGTAATTGTTCGTTGATAGATCCACTATTCTCTGGACCACCAAACGACCAACGACCAAAGAAATCCGCTTATCCTCATTAAGCTTTTAATAAAACATTGTCACACAAGTAGTAGTAGCCTCGTAAACTTAACTTATTCCCTATTTCACTTGAAACCTCGTCTTATTTACATCATCCAGAATAGAACAGCCCAGGTTCGTTAGGGATCAACTTACTTCTTTAATTTAGGACCTATCTTTTCCACTAAGGCAGAGAAACTAAA